AGTGGGGTGCACCTAGCAGAACAGCACCCAGGGCTCTTGGGGGGCAATAAACCAACAGGGACCCTACAAACCATGGTACAGCCTCCATTAGGAATCTGTTCATGAGCCACTGGAGATGGCTTTCTTGTAGACCCCCACAAATGGTCCATGGGCACACACAACACTCAGTTCCTCAACCATACATCACCCAACCTACGGCCTGACACCAGCACACACAGGACAGCAACAAGAGTGAGGTTTTGTAAGCAGCTAGCGAGCATGTGCAGAAAGCATCTCCACTCTGCCAGATTGAGAGAAATCACACATACGCAGTCAGCACTGTCCTAGAGAAAGCAAACAAAAGGGAGACTCTCAGCACCCAGTCTGGCTTCACAGGATGAAGAGAAGGCCTTAAAATTTGTACCACATTGTCCCAGGAACTAGGAAACAAATATCCAACCATGCTGAAGGTTGAAAGCCTGAATGTGTCTGGATCTGAGCTATGTACTCATGCACACTCTGGCTAAAGTACTTGTTTTCTTCCACTGCATCAATTCTCACCAAAATATGATCAAGCATATAGAAACTGCACATTCTCTCTCACTTCTAATTGATTTAAGAAGAAATAAACTAATAATAGAAAAGCATGTTTCCTTCTGACTCCATCTTCAGTCTTGGAGGAAATGGACCAATCAAGAGTCATCTTCCTTCTACGGTACAGGAGCTGGTGGTACAAGGAGGGAAAGAATCAAGCCCGTTGACATGTTGGGCTACAGTACTAACCTCCTTTGGTCAGATGTGATAAACTGAATTTAATCTGAGGACTTCCCCAGTAAGAGAAAGCCAGTTACCAAATACCCAGCAATCATAACTCAGCTAAGAGGAAGCACTGTCACTGTAACAATTGCCAATTATATCCATCGTTAGTTACGAAGACTTGGAGGGACCTTGAAAGGAGCCTACCCTTGAGCAGGGCTGGGAGAATGAGGGAGTTAAATATTTACTCATTTTGTTTCATCCCATTGATTTCTCTGCGGCACTAGAAAATTACTTTTTTTAAAAAAAGAAGGTTGTAGTTAGTAATGTTTAATTCAGTCAAACGTGAACACGTGGCAGGGAGGTTGGTAGCACATCATCTCTACATTAGCCATTAGTCCAAATGCCTTCGTGCAATCTACTAATAATAGTAAGGTGGTTGAGGGGCGCCTGGGTGGCTCAGATGGTTAAGCGTCTGCCTTCGGCTCAAGTCATGATCCCAGTGGGATCGAGTCCCGCATCGGGCTCCTTGCTCAGCAGGGAGTCTGCTTCTCCCTCTCCCTCTGCCTCTCCCCCTGCTTGTTCTCTCTCTGTCTCTGTCGCAAATGAATAAATAAAAACCTTTAAAAAAATAGTAAGGTGGTTGATACATGCATATAAAATTTTCCCATATAGCTCAGAAGGAAGGTTTTCATTATAATAATGATAAAAAATTACAAGTCCAAGAATAAATTGAATTATCTTCAAACAACTGAGCATTATTTTTTTCACACTTTAAGAAGACATTTACTTTAAATATTTGGAATATAACATATCCATTAAGATAAATGCTAATGATATAAAATTTATAGAATGTTTATTATCTAATACTGACTGAAAGGTTTTGTCTAAAGATTCTATCCTATACATGGATAGGTTGGGGAAAAAGATTCCTGGTTACCATGAAATCTGTATGCAATTTCTAAAGGATTCTAACATAGCTTTAATACAAAGTACTTCACTTAGAATATTTCAACAAACTCTTAATTGGCAGCATCTACATGTTTTAATGCTCTGAATACCCACAAAGTCTTATTATAGTTAGACATCACTATTTTACCTAAAGCAAATTGTATTTCTATTTTTTTCTCTATTAGAATTTATTAGTTTCCTTAAGATACTTTTTTTAAACAGCTAATATTGGAAAACTTGTTTGCCCATCAGAAATAAAAATCTGGATAATTACTATATTTTTAATATATGCTTTTACAGCACTTCAAAAGCAAATCTTAATTCAAACCAATACCTATAAAAGGAAATAAAAAAACTCAGTTTACTTTCAAGAGTTTGCATATGGCAGAGAGAACAGGTCACATTGAAATTTAACAACATAAACTATTGTATAATAAATATAAAATAAAGAAATAGACAGTGATAGCTATTATCAAGGGTGAAAACATCATATAAACTTAAAGAGGCTGCTTTCTGAAACGTCACTGATGTAATCTGAGGCTTCTTTATCAATTTCATTTACAGAAACAATCTCTGCAGTCAAATTTATCATTCACTTTCATGCCCCCACATGAGAAGTAGTAGGTGAATATCTGTAGGAATACAATTTATTGTCTGCTCCTCCACTCAGAAGTAACCCAATGTCTGTCCAGTCTACACTCAGAACTTTGTCTTCATGAGCAGCCAGATCATAGAGAGGAGCTTTACAACTTTTTGTATCCCACAGTTCGACGATATTATCTAAAGAACCTGAAATCAGCTGCTGCTCATGGGTAGGAGACCACTTTAATGATGTGACCCAGCCTGTATGTGAGGTTAGGGACAGCGATACCAAAGAACCATCTTTAGTTTGGGGATCCCACAGTCTGATATGCCTATCTGTGCTTCCAGATGCTAAACGTTCACAAAGTGGAGAATAGGAGATAAAATTAAACACCTTATTTCCTGTCAAAGTTGACTTAAGACTGTCAGACTCTACATCCCACAACCTAATTGTGTGGTCCCAAGATGCACTGCAGATTTCTTCAGCATCTGACCATAGAACTGAAGAAATTGTTTCCTTGTGGCCAGAGAGGGTCACTATGGGAGTCCTTGTTAGTCCCAACTGCTCTGTTTTCTGTTTCTTTCTTGGTCGATTTGTGGATTCCTCCATTTCATCTTCTTCATCTGTAGGAACTGTAGACCAGATCTTTAGCATCTTATCCCAGGAGCCACCGCAAAATTTAGTTCCCGTGCTATCAACAGCTATAGAATCCACACTTCTGGCATGGCCTCTGCAGCAGTGCAGGGCTTTCACTTTGTTTCTCTCCACATTCCACTCCCATAAGAGAATCGTCTGATCCATAGAAGCACTCAGTAGTAGGCAAGACAAACTATCTTTTTTCACCCAGGCCACATCTTTTACAACGTCTGTATGTCCCACAATTGTCATTATTGACTTTCCTTCCAAGGACCAGATCCGAGAAGTCTTATCATAAGAACCAGTCAAGATCCATTCCTCTGCCCCTCGAACAGAACTGATCCAGTCATCATTGGAACATGCATTGCTCTGGCTGAGGGGCAGTATACTTCTCCACATATTCCAATTCCACAACCTCTTCTGATGAGATGTTTTCCAGTTCCATGTGTTTGAGCAAGGGCATTCGCAGAAACTGGCCCTTGATAAGGAAGTCGAACTCCACATGTTTGTGGAACTCATTTTTGGCCTCCAGCAATTTATTGATGATGTCACTAAGGTCAGCAATTTCAGAGGCTGCAGGAGTTGAGAAGGGAACATCATCTACTGCATATTTCTTGTTGTCAGTGAAGAAGCGTGTCTGGAGCTGAGCGATGGCTAGGAGTACACACAAGGCTTGTCTCTAGCTTCAGGCTTTAGATCCAGGTAAGAGTCAGGGATACGGGAGAACGAATCAAAAAGACAACTGAGCATTATTAAGAAAGAGACACATATAAGTGGAAAGAAACAGTATGTTGCAAAGCAATCAAATTATCAGATATACAGAATAAGGACATTTCTTTTCACAAATCAATTTATGAATTTAATTCAATCAGAAAGTTTAAATTAAAATTATGAGTAAGTATCAGAATTCTCCTTCCTTCTTTCTTTAACATCTACTGATAATTAATTATGTGAAAAAGTTTGTGCTACTTACTGAAAATATAGCAGTGAATGAAATTCAAAATTCTGTCTCCTAAATTCTATGAGTGGGTAATTGTGAACAGAGACTTACAAAATTTTGTAAATGAGACTAGATTTCTGAGTTTTATCTGAAGCTCACATTGTCAAATCACTCCCTATCTTAATTTCCCTCAAACACACAAATGGTACATACCATTCCTGGACTCTAAAGGAAAACCCGTGACACAGTTTCTGAACAAGAAAGTGATCAAAGCACATAGAAATTTTGGGCAGTCAACATTTGCCCCAAATAGAGAGGAACAAAATTAATATGAAACCATAATTAATGAAAATACCTCACAGAGCTATTTTAAAACACATGTTAAATGAAAACTTAAAAAATAAAATTAAAAAAAGCAGATCTTTGAGGGAAAGAATTGATGAAGTGGGGAATGCTCAAATCAAAATCCATAAAGTGAAAAAATCATGAATGTAATTCTAATAAGTATTTGTAGAGACTAAAAGGAATATTAGCAATATTAGCAATTATCTGATTACAGAGTTATCACTTTCATATTTCTACTTTCCATATTTCTATATTTTGCATGTGATGTTTTAGAATCAGAAAAATCATAAATGCTACCTTTGAAACACAATATTAAGTGCCCATCCATAATAAGGACTGTATTACTGGTTATTTATAGCAGAGGACTCTGAATAGCAAATGTAAAGTCATCTTAAAACCTGAATTTCAGGGACGTGTGGGTGGCTCATCGGTTAAGCATCCGCCTTTGGCCCAGGTCATGTTCCCAGGGTCCTGGGATAGAGTCCGGCATCGGACTCCTTGCTCAGCGGGGAGCCTGCTTCTCCCTCTGCCTGCCACTCCCCCTGCTTGTGCTTACTCTCTAATGCCCTCTCTTTCTGACAAATAAATAAAATCTTTAAAAAAAGAATCCTACCTGAATTTCAAAATAAAACATAATAAAACATTACTAACTCCATTCAAGAATCCATTAAAAAACAGTCATCCAACAAAATGTTCTAAACCTGTCTACGTCATCTCCATCCTAATAGTCTTATTATATGCTTTTAATGTCTAATACATTAGCTTCCACCTACAGATAAACAGCACAAAAACTATACTTGAAGATCTGTGTCAAAGGACAGGGGGCTCCCCCACACCCAGGTTTGAGTGCAGGCAGCAGGTGCCTGGGAAGCAATGTGTGCTTGCTGCACAGAAGTACACAGCTGAGTCTTCAGGCTGGGTGTCTGCGATGTGCAGGGAGAGATGTTTGGCCATCTTATTGAAAAAAACAGTGAGTCTTTGGTCTTCTTTTTTGGCCATGTTTGAACGAATGTCTATAAGGAGCTGGGGACCTTTTCCAAACTCTTGCTTATACCAAGGGAAGTAGACGAAGGTACTGTCTGAATAACTGCAGTTGATAACAGAGCTGCTTCCCTGCTGCACACTCAGGGTAGAAGGATGCTGCTCCACCTTCTCTCCTTGGCTGAACCCTGTGCCGAAAGAAAAGGTCAGAGAAAGGAGAAGAGATTCCAGGTTAGTCTGCTTCAGAATTCTCTTCTTCTACACTAACTGAAGGAAACCTGAGTAAAGCCAGTCTTGACTTCTGAAGAATATCCACTAATATACTCTGGTTCCCATACTTGCTCAACTCACAGTTCAGCTGCAGCCATGAGAACATGATTAAAGCTCCCGTGGATGTCTTCATGGTTCCTCCCAGTTAAGATCAGCTTCAGAATTGCAGCCTCCAGCCAGCTCAGCTCCTTCTCTTATCAGGCTGTCCCTTCTTTCCTCTAACAGAGTACTTTCCCGCATTGTCTACCAGCCAATAAAAAAAAAGACTCTACTTCTGCCATAGCCTAGTCAATCAGATGCACTAAAATGAACCCTCCACGTGTTCTGCATCAGCACAGGTGCGCTGCCGTCTTGTGGTCACGTCTCTACTGAACCCACTGGGCAAATGCTCTTCTCTTAGCCTGAGCCTCTGAGGGACTCACACGCATCAAGGCAGCAATCAGTCAAAACAAATTACCTCTTAGATCAGAGTGAGGTGTAAAGTGAGAATGTGGAGATCAAGAGTTATACCCCTGTGCACTACGGAGTCACTGTTAATAAGTTGGAAAGACAAAAATATACATAATTATAATACAGTTGAAGAGTAGGACCATAAGAAGAGTGGAAACTAAAAACCATCTGATCCAAGAGGAGGGAGAAATACATATACATTAGGTCCTTGGACAAAATCTTACGAAAAGGTAGTCATGCTCTCCTTTCCCCTTTTTGGTCTCAAGGATAGAAGAGAATATGGATAGGCCTTTATGATGGCTTTTATGATTTTTATTACTTTTAATAATAGGAGGAACTTGGGTATATATGAATTATTAAAAGTAATAAAACACTACCTATAGACTAAAATTTTGACTACCATTCCCAATTCTGACCCTTAGATCATTTATTACCCTAATACTTTCTTCATCTTGACAATTTGGAGTTGATTTTCCAGATGTTTTACTAGATTTGAATCACCCAAAAATATATAGTATTTTATTTATACTTTATTATAATACAAATATACATGCTGAGTATACCTTTCTGTAACTTTATAATCTCAATTGTAAATCCTGTGGTCTTACTGGATTAACCCATACACATCCTTCTGTTCTACTATATTCCATATTGTGGGTATACTTCCATTTATACATCTTTTTCTCTATTGATTAAAGGTTAAGATTATTTCTTAATCGCTGAAATATTCCACTACAGTAAAGGTTATTAAGTATTCCCCACATGAGCACATGTTTTGCTAGGAACAGAGACTAGGAAGAACTGAAGGAATAAGCCATGAGGCTAGCAGGTGAAAATTACTCCAGGTCGAGGATAGTCAAGAGCAAAGGGTTTGAGGAAGAATGAAGAGAATTCATGTTCTGATTATTGTGTTGGAAGGTTTTCTTTTTCTATTGTTTTTCTTAATGTGCATTGCAATGGTAGTTTATCATTTGATAAACTCTTTCTGAAATTCTGATATAGAGATAGTGTATAGTTTGCTCCAACCAACAGCCACGGAGGTTTTCTAAATATAGTAAATCAGCAAGAGAAAACACATCCCCAAGCAGAAGCAGTGGTATAACCAAGGAAAAAATATTACAGAATAAAACAAAACAGAGAAAAAAATGTACACACAATTTGAAAATATTGTCAATAATACAGAAGGACACTTTACTTTTCCCAAATCAGCAGAGAAAAAGAGAAAATTCTATCAATGTAACAGAAGAGAAAAAAAAAGAAGCAAAAGCATATGGAGCAAAACCAAAATATTAGAAATAAGTTCAAATATTCAGTACTCAGAACATAGATTAAAAGAAATTATTGGGGGCTCCTGGGTGGCTCAGTCGTTAAGCGTCTGCCTTCGGCTCAGGTCATGATCCCAGGGTCCTGGGATCAAGCCCCGCATCGTGCTCCCTGCTCGGCGGGAAGCCTGCTTCTCCCTCTCCCACTCCCTCTGCTTGTGTTCCTTCTCTTGCTTTGTCTCTCTCTGTCAAATAAATAAATAAAATCTTAAAAAAAAGAAATTATTGAATTGAATCAAAATTTAAAACTATTTATCCATATTGTTTAAGATACAAACCTAAAAGAAGACAACCAACAAATGTGAGCAGATAGCACAGTATTTTCCTGCTGTCCCAGTGTGCAAAGTCTAAAGCCCCCTCCTCACCTATTAAATCCACACCCAAAGAGAAAACCCAAAGGAATGTCAGTTCTGCCAAAGACACAGTCAAAATGTGTCTAAGAGAACACCTAGCTAGCAAACTAGTTAACTCTCACAAAGGGAAGCTCTAAGAAAAACAAGACAAAGGCTAAAAAAAAAGAATGAAACTAAAAAACTCAGCATAGCAAGGAAAACAATCAACAGCATCAAAAGTCATCCTACCGAATGGGAGAAAATATTTGCAAACCACATATATAATAAGGGGTTAATATCCAAACAATAAAATAACTCCTAAAATAAGTTTTTTAAAAAAATTAGTAAGCCAATTAATAATGTTGTAAGGACTAGAATAGACATTTCTTTAAAGAAGACATTCAAATGGCCAACAAATATGTGAGCAAACACTCAATGTCACTGATTATCAGGAAAATGCAATCAAAGCCCCAAAGAATTATCACCTCGCACAGTCATGCAATATGTGAAAAAGGACCATCCTATTAAGTACTTCAGTATTTAAAATGTTGGTACTAGCCACAACTTAACGGTGGGAGAAAAAAGCACGTATTATAAACATGTGTGATTTTCTTGTTCCTTTTTAATGATGACTATCTCAATGTATTTGCCTCTACATTTACAGTCAATTCTTTGATATCATCCATACTTCATATTTTTCAAAAAATGATGGCCATTATCAAAACAAAAAATGCAGGTATTGTCGAGGATGTGAAGAGATTGGAACACTTGCACACTGTTGGTGGGAACGCACAATGCTGCAACCATGGAAAACAATATAGAGTTTCTTCAAAAAGTTAAAAAGAGAATTACTGTATAATTCAGTAATCCCACTTCTGAGTACATATCAAAAAGAATTTGAATCAGGATCTTAAAGAGATAATAAGCACTCCTATGCTCATTGCAGCACTGTTCACAATAGCCCAGATGGGGAAACAACTTGAATGCCCAACAACAGATGAATGGATAAAGAAAATGTGCTATATACATAAGTGGAGTACTATTCAGCCTTAAGAAAAAAAAGAAAAAGGAAATCCGACAATATGAAACCATACGGATGAATCTTGAGGACATTATGGTAACTGAAATAAGCCAGTCAGAGTAAAACAAATAATGCATGATTCCACTTAAATGTGGTATCTATGATAGTCAAATTCATAGAATCAAAGAGTGAATCAAAATAGAGGTTGCCATGGGCTCTGGCTATTGGGTAATGAGGAGTTACTGATCCAGCAGATGAAAGAATAGAGAGTTGCTGTACAACATTGTACCCATACCAACAGTCATGTATTGTACACCTAAATTTTAAGAGGCTAAATCTCATGGTAAGTGTTCTTTACACAATACAAATTAATTAAAAAAAATAAGACACCACAGTCTCGCCTGTCAGAATGCTCAAAATCCAAAACACTAACACCACAAAAAGCTGGTGTCAAAAACTCAGAAATAGCCCAGGTCAATCCAGTGAATTTCACCAAAGTAGTAATTAGTAAAAGTGTCATGTTGCACACATCAAAAAGGGAGCTCATGAACTGGGAGCACTCACCAAAACATGGAATGAGGCTCAGCGGTATATTGCTAGAATGCAGTTTGTATAGTGAGGAGACCAGCAGTCTATCTTTTTCACAGTGATTGGTTATAGTATCAGAGTTGCTCTAAATGATATCAGAAATTGCTTAGTGGGTACCTCTGATCAAACTTGGGAAACAGTTCAAGTTTTGCTTATAATTTCCAGAGGCAGAGCAAAAAATTTTGCAGATCAAGTTGGTCTGACAAAATAAACTAAATTAAGCTTTATTTGTAGGACTAAACTGATTCTGGAAGTGATCTTTGCCCAGGGAATTTTCAAGGCTGCTCTGCTTGGTTTTTACTTTAACACCAGCAAGGATGTCCAGCAACAAGAAACCTCATTCCTGGCTGACAGGAACACACAACGGTACCGCCACATTGGAATACAAGAGTAGCAGGTTCTCACACAGCTAAACAAACTCCTACCGTAGGATCTAGCAATGACAATCTTTAATGTTTACCCAAATGGCTGGAAAACTTCTGCCTACACAAAAACTTGCACACAAATGTTTATAGCAGCTTTATTCATAATTGCCAAAACATGAAAGCAACCAAGATGTCCTCAGTAGAAGAAAGGGTAAGTAAACTATGGTACAGCCAGACAAGGGAATCTTATTCAGTGCTAAAAAGAAATGAGCTATTAAGCCATGGGAAGATGTGGAAGAAAATTACATGCATATTTCTAAGTGAAAGAAGCCAATCTGAAAAGGCTGCATTCTGTTTGGTACCCTCTATATGACATTCTGGAAAAGGTAAAACTATGGAGACAGTAAAAACATCAGTGGTTGCCAGGGGTTACAGGGAGGAAAGAAAGAACTTCTTTAAGTAAAGGAAAGTTGAACTGGTGAGCAAAAATCAAAAAGCTTAGTAATACACAAGATGTGGGGAAAGTTTTTATGTGCTCTTCTCAATTCCTCAAAGACCAACTTGCAGTCTTGTGCTGCGTTTAGAAGTGATCACTGTTTCTCATAAAGGGCCGTGGAGCGCATGGTTGTTCTGTGACTTAAAATTTTCTCACGTGGCCCACATAGTTTATTCCCTCCACCCCAATACCTTCAACACACACACACACACACACACACACACGTACACACCCAGGCAACACCATCTTCCTCAATTATCCAAAAATATGTGGTTCTTCTTTTCCCTGACCCTTTCCGGAGGGCACGGCACACACTGAGGTGCTTCTGGACTAGGCCCGGGTTTCTCCTTATCTAGTCTTTCATGCAAGTTTGCCTTTCTCCATATACAGCTCATTTTCTAAAGCTGGTTGACGTCATTGCCTGCTGATAGCTTCTTTCCTATTTCTCTCTGTGTTTGCAGCTTTCTGCCCTTTCAGATGTCTTTACTATCTTCTTAATAGAGTTTTAGAAAAATCAAGGGGTAAACATGCATTATTAATCTACCATGGGTTTTTTTTA